TTTTTGATGAGAACAATGTGTTTTCATGTCCATCTAAACAAACCCATAATCATATTTTCAGTAGATAATAGACAGCTAGAGAAACTAATGCCAGATAACTTCGTGGGGAAGTCAAAAGGATATTGATGCCTGTTCTTGTCGCACACCATCCTTTATTCTCAACCTCTCCTCAATTTCTGGCATCTTCCCCAAGAGGTGATAAGGGTTTCTCTATCTGTGTCAACTTTATCGATTTTTATTTTCCATCTCAATGAGCTAAATGCCATCAGTCACTAAACCTGAGAGTTTACCTTCAAACACATGAACTGCTGTCAAAAAAAGTGTAAAACAAATTTGTTGTGTAAAGCAGGGCTTCACAGGGAGGGGTGGTGGCATGAGGCAAGCGCTGCTCTCTTGAGAACAATTTTCTCCTGTTGACCCTAATATTGCACAGGGAAAAAATTTAAGGGTTTTTGTGAGCTCTATTGCTAATGATCATCTAACAAATTTTTCTTCTGACACTCTGCCTTAGTCAAATTTCAGCAAAGCCACAAATTAGATTCACTGGTTGCTAGACAACATCCTGTTTTCAAAAGGGGTATCCAGTTGCTGCAATCACTGAATGGGGGGAGAGAAGAAGAACTTGTCAAAGACAAATTGCTCATAAATTAGGAAGGATGGTTCTGCTTGAAATTTAAACTTACTCCTCCCCAAACACATCATGTATAATCTGGCTCTGAAATATGGATTAGGATAAAACTCAAATCCTAAATCATGGGTTCTTGCACTGTGGCCTGTCTAATTTTACTACTTAATATCAGGCTTCCTTACTCTGTGTGAAGGTCAGCAACAATGTCAGAATGGTCATCACCCAGAAGCAGCTGCTCGTGAGCTTTTCAGAAAGTACCACGATTAGCTCACCTAATTTAGTGAAATAAGCAAGTTGTACTACTTTGAACAAGTACGTATTGAGTTCTCATTAGTACATAGGTGCTGGCATGGTCCTGTATTTATATTTCTAAATGGATTCCTTTATAAAGGAAAAAAAATGTACTTACTGAAACAGTACAGTGAAGTTTTTCCATTGACATTTTTATACCACCCAACTGTGCAGTTTGGATGCACAGTACATGGTTTACACAGAGGCAAAAAACAATTATGCAGAGATCTCCGCTATTATTCTCATCCCAGGCCCCCCATCCCTTCTACAGTGTTGATTTAAAAGGAAAGATGGGGAGGACGTTGAGACTAGACTGTCACACAGAACTTAGTTGTCTCTAAATGGGGTCCAGGTTGACTCTTAAACCAGTCAGGAGGGATGGCCCAGTGACTAGATGTACTCGTTTCGGATGCTGGGAAACCCAGGTTCAATTCCTTGCTCTGCCACAGACTTTGTGTGACCTTCAGCAAGTCGCTCAGTTGTGGTTTGCTTTAGTTACTGGCTGACCTCACAGGTGCTGAGCGTATAAATACATTAAAGATGATGGAGTACTCAGATTCTAAAGTAGTTGGGGCTGTGTCAATATGTTGGATCTCTCCACAACCAATAACTTTATCTAAGAGGAGGGTACGTCTGCACTTTTTGCTGAGGGGGATGGGGATGGCAGTCCCAGCTTGAGGAGACCTATCGTCATTAACTAGCTCAGCTAGTACGCTAAAAATAGAGGGTAGCCACGGTGGTGGTGGGGAGGGGATAGCTTCCCTAAGTACAGACCTACCCAAGACACTAGGGATGTACTTGAGAGGCTTGATCCCAGTGGTACTGTGTCTACACTCTAATTTTAGTGTGCTAGCTTGATCAGAGCTATTCTGGGCTGGGTATATCTCCTCAATCTAGATATCAGACTCCCAGTTCAAACCGTAGATGTAGCATGAGACGAGCCTATGCCTGACTTTCTCAAAATTCATGTTTCCTAGAGTTAGCTGAATAGATGGATTAGTTTATGAACACTGTTTGTTAGTGCTATGAAGTCTCTTTGGGCTTGAAGATTGCAAAGTGAAGCAGAGTGACTGCCTCAGATGAACTGTAGTCACGGGAAGATATGTGAGGGGAAAGGGAATGGAATAAAGTGAGCCAGCAGTGTGCTTTGGTGTTGCACAAAACACATTAGAACACATAATCTCCATCCTAAAGAACTTGCTGTCCAAATTTGCCAAATTGAGAGCTAGAATTCACCACATGGCAGATTTATCACAGGAAAGCGCTGGGGTTTAATGCATTATTTCCTAACTACATGGATTTCATGTGACTAAGCTGTCCTAAATAATTGTTTTTTAAAACTTGCAGGAGGACGATGTAAGCTGTTGTAATGGCAAAAGTAGATATAGTACAGGATGGTATCCCTTTTATACAGCAATATGAATTTTTGCTGTATAAATAAGGGGGGGGGTGATAATCTTAGGTTATGTAGCATAAAATGGTTACTTGGCACATGACCTGCAAAGGGCTATTTCCATTTGAATTCAGAAAAGAGAGGGAATGAGACCTTATGCAAGTTACCACGGTGGAATGATTATCACGATAATTTAAATGAGAGGTGTTAATTGGATAAGAGAATTTCAGATAGGGTTTGGAAGAGAGGCATTTTTAAATAAACAAGATGAAACTTCAATAACTGAGGGCCCAGTCTTAGTACTATAGTCAATACGAATTTTTCCACAGACTCAAATGGGAACAAAATGCTTTCGCAAGCTAATGGTCTAACACAGCAATCAATGGTATTTCTGTGTATTAACACAAGAACGTCATCCAACAGTGGTGTATTGACCTGGGTAACTTACTTGCCCCCATTTCTAGGAGAAAAACAACTCTTCCTACAGGCTATACCTTCTCAACACTTGGGGCTTCAGGCCAAAATATCACGATCTCTAACAAGTGATCGGGGGCTACCTTAGCAAATTTGAGTACCAAGCTGAAGAGAGTGCTTAGGCAGCCTCTCAACAGCTAGCTTTTGCTGGTATTTGTTGTAGGGATTGTATTTAGCCCAGAAACTGGTGGAAAACCAGGCACAGGGAACTTGAAAGGGAAAACCTTAGGATGATGAAGGAGGCTACACAAGAGGTTCTGTGAAGGGGCCTGTGGTGGCATATTGATAGTGAGTTTCTCAGACCTTGTCACCTGTGAGGACACCCATAGTCAGACCACTTCTTGCCCACCATCCCAGACAATCCTTGCAACACCTGGACATCTGTTGGTGTACAGAGATGTTAGATACATTTCTCTTAACGCTCTTGGGTGCATCAGGCTGAGAGTGAATAAAGGAGCTTTTACCAATTCTAGTCGGTCTCCTTGGAAAAGAGGCCAGTGTGATTAAGATTAGATGCTGTGCTGCACAGAGAATTCTGAAGAGTTTACTTTACATGTAATTTGAGAGTTGTTCGGATAGCTTCTGTTTCAACCTAAGGTGCTCATCAGATGGAAATAGTTGCAGTAATCCGATAGTCTATTGTATATAGTGTGGAAATAGTGTTATCTTCCTATGAACAAGTTTTAAATATGTCAGATCTTACAAATAGATAAATGATTTCATGTAGGGGATGATTTCATGTAGGGTTTCATGTAGAACCAAGATCTACTGCTGGCTGTGTAACTTTATAAAAAGAGAAGGAGGACTTTTGGCACCTTAGAGACTAACCAATTTATTTGAGCATGAGCTTTCGTGAGCTACAGCTCACTTCATCGGATGCATCACTTTATGTAATTTTATGTAATAGTTATGTGTAACTTTATGTAATAGTAAGCAAATGGGAGGATAAAGCATCACAGTATACCTTGACTTGAACTAGTATAGTTCTAATTTAAGCCTCGTTGTATAATAGTAATTGTAATATAGTTAGTAAGATTTAATGACTTCCCTACAGCATGCTAGATAATAGATACCTGCCTAAACTCTTGTAAACCTCAGATGTGTTGTGCTTGTTCAGTTCCTATTCTTGCTATAGAGGCTCTTTCTGTTTACCTTTCCGTTGTCTGTTTGTTCTTTACTCTTTCTTCCTCTGCTTGTCTTCATTGCTCTCTACTATTGTCCTTTTCTTAAAACTAGGACACTTTTGTGATAGCTACTTGTTAAGAAAATTAAGGAATTTATTCTGTTAGCACTGTTGTGCAAATTGATTTAATTACCTAATGAGACTGTGTGGTCATTGGAATGCATTCAGCAATCTGAAATCACTAACTGAACGTGTGCCTTACTTGTGACAAACTTGTGAATAAAAAAAGCGCACATGCAAAAAATATGTGCAAAACTAAATAGTCTTCTGGGAGATATTGACCATGTAAAATACTCTAAGTGCAATAAAAGCGTCTTGAGTAATTGAAAAACTGTTCAATATTGGGGTTTTAGTTTACAAATCACTAAGTACCATAACAATGTTGCTTTGTTAGGCTCGTAAATGCAGTCACAAAAGAAATTATTGCTTTGTGTAGTGTACACTAAGTAAAATTTTCAGAAGCACCAGAGTGATTTGGGAGTTTACCATTAAAAAGAACTCCAATTCCTAATTCACTCCAACACTTTTACCTAGTTTGATTAAAGTTAAATATCAGAAAACCAGCAGTCCCTTTTTACTATAAGTAGTTAACATTTGAATACCTTCTCCTAGGGCGAAGTATTGGTATGAAATTCTGTGGCATTCTATCCCTATTATAGTGTGTGGAAATTTGTTATGACTTGGCTTCCAGGAGTGCCATGAATACGATTCCTCTGGGTTGACTAGCCTCTGCAGAAGTCCAGTGAACTACGAAGCTGAGACTGAAATGTTGTTTGCTGAGTTAAGGAACTTCAGTGAGTTTTAAACTTTTTAGGGCTGTCTTCACTGCAATAGTTAGCTTGAGTTAGTACCCTTGAATTACTCCATTTGAGCAAGCCTAGTCAACCTCCTTTTCCTCCTGAAAAATGCTCTATTCAGACACTTGTCAAGGCAGAATGCTTCCTCTCATTTTATTGCTTTGAAGAAAGCACTTGTCAAACCTTTCTCCAGTATTGCAATGTAAACTTTCACTATCATTTTGTTCCCTGCAGAGAGAACGCTTCCCTTTGCAAAGCCAATACAGGGAGAAAGAAGCTGGAAATTTGCAGAACATAGTAAGTAATATGACTATATGTATTGAGCCAGAGCACTGAGCCTTCATTAAAGAATCAGTGGACTGATCTTGGTTCTTACAGTGAGTTTTTCACTTTTTTTTTTTTTTGACACAAAGAGCTCCAGATTACTTGTCCATCCTATTCAGTAACAATTAAACAAGTAGAATTGCTGTCCATGTGGCATCTGAGTTTCAAACAGCATGAACTAAAAGTTAATGGCTGGGAAATAAGACCAAAGCCAATACTTACATTCATGTCATTTTGTCGTTGGCTTAATGTCTGTGCTTTTTTCATAGTCTTTTTTGTTAGTTTTCCTTTAATTGGAAATTGATTTTAGTCGTAATGTATCTAAGTTCTTGGAAGATATTTTCCATGTCCCCTTTTTGTAATGTAAGTTATTTCATTGAATCACTAGTGACTAAGGAAAGTGCATTAAACTATTATAAGGGGCTTATGGCAGAATAAAAGGTGGGTGCTGATGATAGTAATTAGTCTTCACCTGATGTGCTGTGGAAGCAGTATTTGAAGAATGAAATTGTTGATGCTTTTTAATGTATGGAGTTGTTTGTAATTTTAGAAATCAGTAAATGGCAGGCAACCTAATTACGAAGATGAAAATCCATTGAGCCAAGACAACCTTCAGCAGATGTACCCAGTTCACAAGCAGATATGTTACAAAGATTGGAGCAGCAAGTACCATCAAAACCCAGGAACTGGAAGAATCTACATTAATCCTAGAGAACACTATGTGTGATTGCTTCTCCTGCTGTGAATTTTTATACAGAATAAATTGGTGTTAGATAACTTAAAATGTTGAGAAGTCTGCAAGCTTAACACTTGTTGATTGTAGGACAAGTACGTACCCCGGTGTGTTTTAGCAGTTCCTAAAGAAGTAGGTATAGAGCCAATTAATAGTCTTTGTGTGTGTGTGGTGAGAGATGGTGAGAAATAGGCAGGCAGAAAAGATACGTATTTCTGGAACAACTCTTTCATTTGTGACTTTGATTGTGGATTTACTTTTTCAGTAGCATAGTGCTTATCTGTATTGTACTGTTAAAATCCCAGTGTGTGTTGATAGCTGAAGGGATCCTCCAGAAGAAGAGCCTCAGCTGCCTGTGTTAACCTCACCAGATTTAAGAAACGCCAGCCCATTCATCTGTAATTCAAATGTGTGTTAAATGAATTTAGAATCTATTTCCCTAATTCATTCTTAGGGATTTCTCTCTCTCTTCCCTCCCGCCCACCCCCAAAGTGAATGTGCTTAATACAATTACAGTTCCTGTGTACAAAAAATGAGGTATGAGCTGGAGGGAAAATGTACATCCTTTGTGTCAAGTGAGAAATTTGTGTCTAGGTTGTGGGGTTTTGTTTCATCTTTTAAGACACTTCAGAAGCATCACTACTGGTAAATAATTTTAATGAGATACTGACAGAACTTGACCACAGCTTCTGGTTCCCTCCCCCATTACCTCTATTCCCCATTCCAATAAACAGTCAGGTGCTGGTCTGTTACTGTGCTTTCTGGACCAATACTGCCTGTCTACCCACCTCATAAGTGCTGTTCAATTCTTTTCTGCCATGAGTCTCAGGTCGCATGTTCTTTTTTTTCTTCCCTTAGCTCCCAGTTCACACCTCCCCAGACTCAGTCTACCAAACCTAAATCTAGCTGCTAGAATCAGATCATACCTGTTTCTTATCTGGTTTAAAACATTCCCAAAAACCGCACATGTGCACCCCCATCTTGCCCACTCAGAACTCCAGACACCAAGACCTAATTCTCAGTGGTCCCTAGCAATAAAGTAAACAGGAGCTGTGGGTGCTCAGTACAGAAGAAAAGCAAGCTCTCTGTTAGCTAGGGCCATATCTACTCTGTTGTTTGCTGACAAAATAAATTCCAATAGTAGCAATGGGGGTGGGGGAAAGAACTTTACTCTAGCTGTGGGCAAATTTAACGCTGTCTTCTAACCCTGCCCAGAGCAGATGGAAGTAATAGTGTTGTGAAATAGCATGTGAATGGCTTGCCCAAGCTAGTAATAACACAGGTGACGCTGCACTGGTGTTGGTAACCGTGGAAACCTGTGTGCAAATACAATTTGTGTTGAAAAGGCGCAGTGCTCTTGATGAGTACAAATAAGTTTCCTGTCAGTTAAAGAACCTGCACAGATAAGCCTGTGTGGTCAATTTGAGAATTTTTTTTATTTGTCTAATTTAACAGGGCAAGAAATGGGACACTGAGTACAGATGACTTTAAAGACTTTAACTTGGATACAAGGGCATAAAGGGGAGTGAGTGTTCTGGAATACAAAGGAAGTGTCTCAATAGACACTAGACAATTTATTCCATAGCTAACTTACTAGGACATTTGAAAAGAGTAATCCCCCTGAGCATTTACCCACTTGAGCTAATTTTCATTCCAAGTGTGCACGCTCGTCTCAGACAATGGATTTACTGCTGGTTTTGTAGACAGTCAAAGATACTGGAGTATTTTTTAGCTGCTGTATTAGCAAATCATATGGCACAAAATCACAGGCATGCATTGTCTGTCCTTAAAATTGTGACTAGCGAATCATCTAAAACATGAGTTTTATAAGTAACTGACTAATTAGTGCTGGTTGATGGTAGGGTAATTTATTTTACTGTAGTATCTCCAGCCTTTCATAAAATGAATGTTTAAATAATGAAAGTTACATATTGGGTGGTAATCAAAGCATGGTTCCCACTCTAAAGGTTTCTTCATGCCTTGAGCCACCGGTTTGAAAAAGGAGTTGCGTCTTTATCTCTCCTAAAGTTTTCTTAGTTTTTTTCTAAACATACGTTTGTCAGGTTTCCCAGCTCAACAACTACCACCTTAACATGCTCTTTGTATTGTTACCATTGTAACAACTTGCTTTGCAACACAGCAAAATGTATAGGGCTTCAATTCTGAGATTAGTTCCCAGGGGGCCCCCTTTCACACACACACACACACACCATTCGGGCTCCAGGCTTCAGCTGCAGGGCACTGAGTCTTGGAGCTTTAGCCCTGAGGAGAGATGGGAGCACCAGGGCTCAGGTCTTTAGCTCCCCGGGGAAGGGGGCACCAGGGCTCCTCTCTGGTGGGCTCTGGCTGCATTTAAGCCTTGAGAATATAGCTACTGGGAACTGGTATACTGAAATTTCATTGACAATGCAGCAGAATGAAAGCTGAGATTGATCACAATGAAATGCAGCATGAAAAGTCTGCTGAGAGTGAAAATTCTCTCCAAAAAATGAAGGTTTCCAGTGTGTTTGCCCGTAACCCATTAACTTTTCATCTTTGTTCTAGTAAAATTTGATTCCATGACACAATCTCATACAAGAGTCATTAACAATTAACTGTGGTGGCAGAAGAGGGCAGCAAGATTGGTTCCAAGTACTGAAGGGGGATTTTCATTTTGCAGCCCTTGTGTATAGCCTGTCAGAGATGGAAGTAGGGAGACTGTCTGGCTTCCAGCATTGTTGTAAGGGGCCTGAAGTGCAGGCATTTTGAGTTGAACACCAGTTTATATGATGTCCGTGTATACTGTGTGCGATGCACTGTGGCAGTTGGAAAAATAGGGAAGAGTGGGAAAACCTGAGAAAGCAGCAGTTCTGCCACCAGTGCATAGATGCGGAATACATGTGGCGGTGAGAAACAGAAGTGGGGAGAAGACACAGAGCGGTTTTCAGTTGAAAAAAATTCTCACTGTGCGAGTTTCTCTCACTTGTTTCTCTGCAATGATCCCAGTGCTTTCGCTCTGCCTTGCATGATGGCAGATGAAGCAGCGTGGCTTGTTGCTTCATTTCTCACTGATTAAAACTTCAGTTCGCGAGGGCCCAGGAGACAATAGAACAAGGACGAAATGAGCAGGCATGAACTTGATGGGCAGAGAATGTCTTCACCACTCTTAGTTCTGGGAACATAAAAGGATGTTGGTGACTTTTCATCTGTTTCCCCTTCAGGCATCTTTTAAGGGTCCGAAGAGAAACAATTTGCATTTACGAAGCACTCCTGAGCTGTAGATCTCAAAGCTAGTGGGTGGGGGAAATAAGTGGCTGGGTACTTACTGATGACTTCCTCCTGACGTGAGAGGAAATGCATACCGACGGAGACTCGGTATTGAAAAGGTCGATACAGGAAAAAATAGCTGCTGCAATGTATAACCCTTTAGAAGTTGGGATAACATCTCGGACAGAACTTAAACATTCAAGTCCATGGTTGGAGGTGCTGGAGGAAAATAATGAAATAAAACCAGGTGCAGGAAAATGTACTGCAGCACCTACTCATCCACTGTTAAAACAGTGCTGCCGCTGTGGCAAATGCTGCCCAACAACTCAGTGGAGCAGATTCCAACTGAATTGTGGCACTGAGGTCTCTGCCTCCTTAACTCCCGCTAACAAATTCTGATACATTGCTAAGTGGCGTTACTTGGATACGCAGGCTGCTAGGAAAAGTGCCCCCCACATCATCTTGTCCTTAAGACAATTATCGTTATACACGTGAATGGAAGTTTTGTTTGTTACAGGCCAAGTCTCTAGTGTACTTACCCTGAAGCTGATGGAGTTACAAGAGGAATGCATTTCACAACAAAAGTGGTCCATTTATGAGCTTAGATAACTAAAGTTTTACCACTTGCCCTTTTACATTCATCCCCGTAAGCAGAGCTGCAAAAGTTAGATCTGGATTCCCGTTGCCCCAAAGATGAAGTGTGTTTGGATCGAGGGCTGTGGTTCAAACACATCCTAAATAAAATGTATATTTGCTGTCGGATGTTATCTGGCTGAAGTACTCTTGTACTACTGTACTCTTAATTAAAGAAAAACTTTATGCAAGACACAGATGAGACAGATGGCTGACAAAGTATTTGTGAAAGTTGGATTTATATAAGCAACAGGTATTTAAGGCACTTGTTCATGAATATAGATGTTAAAACCAAAAACAAATCTAATCAAACAAATACTGAAAGCTGGAAAACCTGGTATGTAAGGTTGTGTGTGAACCTCATTAATTCACACTCACTGGGGCTTTTATGGTAGATTACTTCAATTTGTGAAGCACTTGATAAATGTGCAAATACATCTCTATATCAATATGCTCATGATCTTAATTGCAATTTAATAGTCTAAATATACCAGTATTAGTGTAACATTTGACTAATACTAGGTTACTATTAACCCCATATTTTTAATTACCATATGGATTGTGATTAATTTACTTGCCTACTTATTACCATTGGTATAATGTATTGAATTGAATTTTCTTTACGGCTGTTGTTGATTTTGAGTAGCATTCTGTTAGTGAATAATCAGATAAAAACAATAAAATAAATGTTACCGTATAGGAAGGATTTGGGAAAATGTAGCTAAAACTTACAGAATTAGACAAAGTGTAGAAGTAAATAAACTGCCTGTTTCATGTTAGTAATATGCAGTATCACCACAGCCTTCCACTGCTAAATCTTAGGGTACATAAGGAGAGGAAGATAACCAGTGTGTTACAGAAGCCTAGCAGGCTTGCTGATTGGTGAAGTAGGGTACTATTGTAGTTGAGGGTGAAGGGGGTTATGCCGTTGCCCTTAAAGTTTCTCTATGCTTTATGTATGTGAAGTTGGATAAACTGAATATTTGTGGTATAAAAGATAATTTCTATAGTAACAATAAGGAATTACCTTTGTTTGTTTGTTATGGATAGCACCTAGGAACTTAAGTAAAGGATCAGGATACTAGTGTGCCAGGCATTGTACTAAAGATGAAGAGAGAACAAGCCCTGTCACAGACTGCTCACAATTCTACTTGTCAGAGAACAAAACAGATGGATTAAACTGATTAATGTTGTGGAGGTGGGGAAGATCGGAGGATAATGCAACAATAGAACAAATAATTTGGTAGAAAAGCAGAAGTCACGGCACATCACTTGCCTAATAATTGAGAGGCAAGGGGGCAATAGAATACTGATAACTACCTTAAACAGTAGTATGGCTCATATGCAATAACATTATACGGATTGGTAAAGAGTCAGTTGATTCTCTATGATCCTCCCAGGTCAAGTCCAACAATCCTACTAAAAGTTGTCAGAGCTGCTTCAAATAAGGATTTCTCACTTGACTGCATTTGAGAGCAGGAACTTCCTAAAATAAGCACTGGTGAATCTCGTTGCATCTGGAGAGTACAGCCAACTTCTACCTGCTCCCTTGTTTTCTGCATCTCAACTTGATGGTATCCAGGAAGTCTCCGGTATTTGCATAATTTAGGAGTTATTAACCAGTAAACAGGAGTTCAAGGATCTGTGTAGTTGATCTGATCACAAAGCTCATTTTTACTACCCTAGTCGTCTCAGACAGCCTTAGTCCCTGATAATCCTATTTTTGGAAGCTACCAACCGCTTGGCATCAGAAACATCCAAGTGGTATATTAATTGATGCCTGAAGTTTGAGTGAAAGCACTGACTAATGAATCCACGGAAGCAGGGGGGAAAATGCAGATACACATTTTCTTTGGCTTAAACAAAATATTATTCTGTTCAATATAACAATGGCTGTTCAATGAACTTCTTGTTGTCAGTTGTAGTACAGTGCCCTACTGAGCATCAGATCATAGACTGGTCCATGGCTTTGTTTCTGGGGAGAAACTTTACTTTAATCTTTCTACTAACTACCTAATTTGCCAGCAAAATGTTTCCATCATGGTTCTGGATTCCATATAACAACTTAATGTGTGGATTCCATATAACAATTTAATGTGTAGATTCCTCTGAGATGCGTATTAACAGTCCTCTAACAATCCCTCCCCACTCCGCATCAGACAAGTATGTCATCTTCTCCACCAATCCCCACCATATCTCTACAGTGCACTTGGATACCAATCTGGTAGCATCATACAAGGATAACTCTAAATTTTGGTGGGAGTTGTGTACGTGCAAGGACTGAGATCAAAGATTATTGCTGGCCCTGAAAGTAGTGGGTCTGAGAAGGGTGGTTTCCAAATCAAGTCTGTCTTGCTTTTCACTGTCATTGTGCTTGAGACCCAGCATATCTCAGTACAAGACAATATGTAAACTGATTTTTTTTTCATACTGTGGACCGTGTAATACAGGGAGAGTTTTGTGGTTTTGTCATGGCATTTGATTTTTGTGGCAACTTTTCATATCATTCATAATTGCATAGCATCACCATGGCAGGGCAGCAATTGCTTATGTGGAAAAGTAATACTAAAATCTTATTTATTCTATTTTCTTAATCAACTTGAAAGCTGGAAATAACCCAGAGGAGCCAGAACCATGTGGCCAGCAACTGTATGTAGACCACCAATGCTCCATGGGCCACAAGTTGGGAACCTTTGCTGTGAAGCATTGAGTGGGTCCATGCCAATAGCAAACTTTTTTTATTCTCTATTTCCTTTTTATGTAAAATAGAAAAAGGAAGACCTTGGCTGGAAAATCTCAGTGGCTGGCAGTTTTCAAGTGCTAAATGTAAAAAAATCCTTTCTGTTTAAGCACACAACAAAGCACCAAAAGAACAGAATAAAATTTCAGGTGCAACAGATTAAGTACAATGGCTATGAATATTATTTTTTAAAAAAAAATTCTTCATTTTATCAACTTCATTATTGGTTGGAAAAACAAGTTTGAATGTATAGTACAGCAAGTTTCAAAGCTGTTGCTATATTTGCCATGTTTACTGTTACTACTGAAGCAGTTTGGTTCAGTCATGGGTAATTGAATACATGTGATAATTTTTTACCCTACACCTTTTCATTTTGCTTACAATATTCAGGAAACAATCCACTACCCTTATAGTCTTCTGATGTGGATTCATCTTTGAAGTTCTTTGATTTCAGTTTTGCAAATCAGAAATCGAGGGTTCTATCAAAGTGCCAAACAGAACTTTTTCTTTAAGGGAGATTTTAATCAACAAGGCTGCACTTCTATGTTAGCTTTTACCATTAAATTGCATAATGTTCCATTGTTACTCTCGTTCATAGACATGCAAATAAGTCTCTGAAAAATATTAGCGTTAAAGTAGGTTGCTCAAGGTACATAGACATACAAATTGCAAATCACTTTGTAATGCAAATTGTGTACTAATGTGGAGTTTACAAGTGTAATGATTAGGTAGGTACATTATTAAGGACTTTACCTGTACCAAGCAAAAAGGATTTCAGTAATGCATGCAGTGAGGCTTAGAATATTGAGTTGTGAAATGTTGCCTACGTTACTATTTAGTATTAGCACACAACTCAGAAATGTGGGTGGGAGGTCATGGGGGAGAAATTCAGAATACCTGGAGAGAACCGAAAAAAAGTATAGATGTATTTTGAGATCACAAATAAAAAGGACAACAACATTGTTGAATTTGTAGGCTATCCTAAGCTATAAGAAATAGTCCTTTACTTTGCACATTTTTGAAGTGTATGTATTAGACTTGTTTTGAATAAAAATATCCAGAACAAAGGTTTTCATCTTATATTTCACTGTATGGCAAATCTAATAATTGGCAGAATTTTTATATTTTACAAGAAGGTGTAGTGACTTAATTCAACAATCCCTAAATATGTGCATATAGGAGAAAACAAAGGTTTGCTATAATTTCATCAAGGAGGGTTGCTCTTTGATATATGACCCCACATGTCTATACTCACACAACACCTATGCTAGCTAAATTCTTTTTTTCCAAAAGTGATTCATGATTTCATGGTGTCTTGAGATGTCTTGAAGGGGGCTTGAGTCTCAGATAGCAGGCACTCAGCATTTATTGAAAATCCTGCCCCTTTAAGGCTTCTTAAACTGGGCCCCCAAAATAACAAGTAAATTTTGGAGAAATATGCTTAACATTCATATAATAAAATCAAAGATCCTCATGGCAAATACCTTAGTTTAACATCTACAATTGACTAACCATGTTTAGTAAACGAAAGTGATCCACCTCTTTTGGATATAGTGATAAGGAAAGCCAGAGAAAATGGAGTAGGAGCTCAAGGAAAGGGAGGAACATCCTCCCTCCAGGAGTCAGTTACACGTGGTCATGTAAGGAGTGCTACTGGCTGCCTTAACCATATTTAGCAGGTTGGCTACCTAAAGAAAGCTTGCTAGGAAAGGCACCTGTAAAAGTGAATCTGATGTTAGGTAAAATCTGGGCCCCACTGAGTCCAGGAGCGTTTTGACAGATGACGGGCCACATTTTCACCTCTGGGGAACTGAAGCAGCACCACTGCCTGACAGCCTTGCCACTGTTAATGTAAGAAAAATGGTATTCAGCTCTCTGAGCACCATGGATTTGGTATTAAAACACCCTATTGTTTTCAGAGGTAACTGATACTTCCTTTTTCGTTTTGAGATGATGGGATAGTTGACCACATTTAGTTGTGCTCAGCTATGATGTTAGGTGGACACAATAAATTTGAATTCATTTTTGACACAAACGGCCTGGGCTTGTAATGGACCACAGCATCATCATCGCTGTCTGACCTAAGGTAATGCAAATAAGGTGGATAGAAAGCTGGCTAGATCGTCAGACTCAATGGGCAATGATCAATGGCTCCATGTCTAGTTGGCAGCCAGTATCAAGCGGAGCACCCCAAGGGTCGGTCCTGGGACCGGTTTTGTTCAATATCTTCATTAATGATCTGGAGGATGGCCTGGATTGCACCCTCAGCAAGTTTGCAGATGACACTAAATTGGGAGGAGAGGCAGATATGCTCAAGGGTAGGGATAGGATACAGAGGGATCTAGACAAATTAGAGGATTGGTCCAAAAGAAATCTGATGAGGTTCAACAAGGACAAGTGCAGAGTCCTGCACTTAGGATGGAAGAATCCCACACACCGCAACAGACTGGGACCGAATGGCTAGGCAGCAGTTCTGCAGAAAAGGACCTAGGGGTTACAGTGGACAAGAAGCTGGATATGAGTCAACAGTGTGCCGTTGTTCCCAAGAAGTTCCCCTCTGTTTGACATTGGTGAGGCCTCATCTGGAGTACTGTGTCCAGTTTGGGGTCCCACACTACAAGAAGGATGTGGAGAAATTGGAAAGGGTCCAGCGGAGAGCAACAAAAATGATTAGGGGACTGGAGCACATGACTTATGAGGAGAGGCTGGGGGAACTAGGATTGTTTAGTCTGCGGAAGAGAAGAATGAGGGGGGATTTGATAGCTGCTTTCAACTACCTGAAAGGGGGTTCCAAAGAGGATGGATCTAGACTGTTCTCAGTGGTAGCAGATGACAGAACAAGGAGTAATGGTCTCAAGTTGCACTGGGGGAGGTTTAGGTTGGATATTAGGAAAAACTTTTTCACTAGGAGGATGGTGAAGCACTGGAATGGATTACCTAGGGAGGTGGTGGAATCTCCTTCCTTTGAGGTTTTTAAGGTCAGGCTTGACAAAGCTCTCGCTGGGATGATTTAGTTGGGGTGTGTCCTGCTTTGAGCAGGGGGTTGGACTAGATGGCCTCCTGAGGTCCCTTCCAACCCTGATATTCTATGATTCTATGAAATGCAGTAATGGCATGGCATGACTGAAATTGTATTACCCGGATAGTGCCTTCTATCTGAAGAACACTAAATATGTAGCAGACCTAAATGAACTGAACTTCACTACATCACTTTGAAATAGGTAGCTAGTAATTATCCATATTTTAAAGATGGAGAAAGACAGAGAGAGGTAAGTGATTTGGTAAAGGCCAAAAAATGTCAGTTCAGTGGCAGAGCTCAGAACAAAACCAAGATCATCTGACAGTTTACCAATGTGTGAAATTTCAAGTAATTAACTTGGATGTTGCTTCTTATGCTATGAATGGCCAAATTATTAACTGTACTACTTCTGAAGTATTTGACTTGCTTCAGCAATAATTCTTGGGCTGTAGATTGTCAAAAAACTATTCACTGCAAATATTTAAAATTGAATGTCACACCTGTGACAGACCACAGACTGTCAGTGAATTAATACTTCATAACCAACGGGCATTAGGGATATACGTTTTAGATTAAGAAAAATTGCACTTAGCTCGATCAAGCTATTTTATGCCCAATAATAAAATGAGCAATATGCTAAGGGAGATGGCAATAAGATCAGTGAAGAGACATAGGTTGAAAGGTGGCTGGGTGACAGCACTCTATTGCATAATTGAGTCGTGTGTTCTCTGAATGGCTTATGTAGCCCAATGAATTAAAAATTGCATTCTCAAGTGTAAACCTGGCAGTTTAATTTAAATTGCTTGATTATGCACATAAGCACTGGCTTTTTGTACATTCGCTAAAAAAGTAAACCAACTGCAATACAATGAAAGTGAAATAGTTGTAAAAATTGAACTAATACTTGGAGATTTTATTTATTGCATCCTCCCTGTTGTAGAGAATCCTTTCCCATAAATTTAATAGGGACCCTTCCGTGACTTAATTTCAGGTAATTTCTAGCCCAATTTTGAAATTAAAAATGCACAACTGGCCCACTGTAAAAATTTGAATTTTGAAGCAAACTCTTTCAAACTACCAGAAGGATTTTTGTTAGCTCAATTAATAAAGCTGAGCAGTGACTAAAATTGACATGACAGAATGATGCCTATATGTTGATCTTAAGACACTTAGCTTCTGATCTTGGCTCACAAAAAAGAGAGATTTTTGATTACATAATACATATCCTGGTTAGCAGAAGGCAAAGTATTGAATGGACGTAAGCTATACTGCTAGGAGACAGAGCTAAGCTGTTTATCGTACAGGGTTAAGCCAGGTTACTGGAAACCGTATGGACGAAGCCTGCATTGTAATGCTTACCTTTAATGAAAATTACAACTGTCAATCATAGCAAAGCCAAGGTGTGAGTTCCTCTGCTCTTGCCACAACAAGCAGCCAGTCTTAAATATTAAGATCTACTTAACATGACAATGCCACTGTCCAGTTTCCTGTTCTTGTAGGCATTCTCTAGAGCCATGAGTTTCACATAGTAGTGGACAGTTTCTCTTCAAGTAATGTGTCTGACATGGTCCCAGTGGAGTCAGGAATTCAGAGAGGCCCTCTAAAATGGTGATTTGATACAGTTACAGTCTGAAAAACACAAATGTATTGTTTCCATCTTTAATCTTTGCTCCAGATTACTTTTGTGCTGTATCCAAGTCAAAAGATATTTTAATTGCCAGCCCAACAAACTCCACCTAGGAGCCTAGAAAACAAGCTGTTTTCCTTCTGCCACCTACGCATGACTGGTAATAAAGAATGTGCAATTGGACCTCAGTTCACTATTCTGATTTTGAGGCAGAACAGACGCTAACTCCTCACCCTTGAATGAGTTGACTGTGCAGGGATACACACTGCGAACAGCTAAAGTATACAAAATATATAAAAACGTTAACTTAATAACTTGCTTGAATATAGCCACAACTTGATTATATTCTGCTTGGAAAAACTATGCCACCAGCATGATTTAAGAACCTACAGCCTACCATATGGAAAAGAGAATCAAAGCTTCTTGTGATCCTGGTCTGCAAGAGGAAAAAGTTTATAGGGTTTGCCGTATCAGAATTAGCTGTTGCTCAACTGAAAATTCAGAATCTTTCTTTTTTAATAACAGCAAATATATCCCTTTAAACATTCAGTTGATCCACGAGCATGGATTACCGTACAGAACTTTACATCCAAATTACTCTAGTACCTGCTGTAGTCAATTAAACTATCTAAATGTATCTCCTGGGCTGGTGCAAACAAAAGGTGGGTATCTTAAATGCAAAATAATACATACACACGCACACACGATAGCAAAATTGTAAGTAAAGAAGTGGTAGTAATGATGTTAGTCTCGATGCTTACATATCAGTGTTGGCTGTGCCTTACTAGTTTAGGTTATTAGTACCTCTGTTCTCTGTGGCCAGTATTTACTAACTTAATTTAAACTCATTAACTATTTTGTATTTATTGGCTAGTTCCCAGAGAACTTACACTTACCGAACTTTGAGTATAGAATAACGAGGATACACTGTGTCTGTCTTACATAAGAGATTACATTCTTGCTTGAAGTGCAAAATGGAACTCTTTTCTACAAAGTTGCTCTTAGTGCCTCTATGGCATTTGATAGTGGGGAAGCAAAAAATGTGTGTGTAATCTAAATAAGACTTAATATTTTCTTAACTGTCACAGCTACAATTATGGGTAGTACTATCATGACAGCCCTTTGCGCTGCCTTTATGTAGAAATAGTATGGACTATTGTCCACTGTTACTCTGAAGTGTTGGTTACAAAGTGTGTATTTGCTCATCAGAGTAAGAATCTTGGAATTCTGGCTCTCTCCACCAATTGTTCTGTTTGGACAATTGTCAAGTTAAGTCACAGCCAGTCAACTGAACTCTTCATTAATTAGTCTGTTGTGTTGCAAAACTAAGTTATGACCTGTTTTTTTAAAACATCACAGCCTTCATGTGTGTAAATTGTGACTTCACAATTGCATTTAAAAAAACTATAGTTACTGAGGCACTCAAATAAATCCAGAAAT